AGATAAAGTAGATTTCAAAGCAAAGAAAATTACTGGAGACAGAAAAACCTTGTACAATGATAAAAATGTCACTCAGCCAGGAAGACGTAGCAATCTTAAATGTGTATGCATAAAACAACAGAGCTGTAAAATGTGTGAAGCGAAAACTGATAGAAATGAAAGGATAAAATAGACAAACCCATGATTACATTTGGGTACCTCCATCGCCCTCTCTCAACATTTGATAGAACAACTATGCAGAAAATCAATAAGGATATAGAAGACCTAAACAGCACCATCAACAAAAAGAATCTAAATGACAGTAATTAGAACACTTCACCCAAAATAGCAGAATATACACACTTTATAAGTAAGTGCCCACAGAACATATACCAAGATAAACTATATGTTAGACTATGAACAAGTCTTAATAAGTATAAAAGAATTGAAATCATATGGAATGTGTCCTCTGACCATGTCACTTATATTATTTCTAGAAATGTATATTAAATACAACTAAAATACAAAATTGTATTTAATATGCTTTTCTAGGAATCAACCTAGAAATCAGTAACAGAAAGATAACAGAAAAATCTCAAAACCCTCAGACCTAAACAACAAGCTTTATATAATCCGTGGGACCCAGAAGACATCTCAGTGTAAATTTTAAAACTACATTAACCTAAGTGAAAATGAAAATGCAACTTATTAAAATTTGTGAAATACTGCTAAAGCAATGTTGAGAGAAAAATTTTAGTACTAAATTAGAAAAGAGGACAAGTCTCAATCCAATAATTTAAGCTCGGCGTGTCAGCATTTTGAAAAACCCTAACTTAACTCTGGTGAAATTTTTTGATATTTGCAACCATAGTAAAACAAAGACTTATATTTGTGACATTTATTTTATATATTTAAATGCCGTTTAACAAAGAAAAATCAACCAAAAAAATGAGTTCACGTGTCACCTCTGACACGCATGTCATAGGTTCGCCATCACTGGCCTAGGCCCTGGCCCCTGCCCGCTGCGGCTTTGTCTGGAAGGAAGGATGTCCAGAAAGACGTCTGGTCTAATTAGCATATTATGCTTTTATTATTATAGATAAAAGATATTGTATATGACATTATTAAAGAAATCATTCATAGCACTTGTTAAAGAACAATAAGGCAGACTTTATTTAGGGGGGGACTACTATGATGGGATTTTGTAGAAAAGAAGAGAAATCAGTGCAACTTGGAGTACAAGGACAAGTGGAAATTTATAGCCAAGGAGCAGGGTGAGGGGTCAGTGGATGGAAAATTAGTAAGAGGTAATCCTTTGCTAAACTAACCTGGCAGGATTTTGGCTGAAGGAAGGCCACAGTGATAAGATATTGTGGGGACGGAATAAGGAATTTGGTCAGATATCAAGGGTAGGGGATTTTTACTAAACTGATAGCAAGATTCTTCCTAAAACTGGACTGAATGGGCCAAGGACAGAGCCCAAGGCCAAGGACTAGTCAGAAAGAGAACTCAGTAGGGGTGACTCAGTTTGGTTAAAGGAGAGTCTTTGTCCAGTAATCTCCAGAAGGGTTTGCTGCAGGTTCTCTAAATCAAACATCTCAGTCCTCCTGCATCAACACATGAACGTTCACACGTAAGTGGGTTAAAAGACGATTATACATAGCACTCCTTCCGTTCAGATAAGTTGTGGAAATCTTCTCTGCTTTGAGGGCACTGTGGTTTAGGAATTGTAGGCCTATGTAACCATGTAACCAATTGTGTGTTAGGTGGGTCCTAGCAGAGACAATTGGACCGCTTGGCCTCAGTCCTCTGTGACTATTGCACAACCTTCTGCAGGCATTTGAGTTTGTGGTCTCTATGTCTTTAACCATTTTAAACTCTTCTAAAATATTAAGTAATTCCATGCTTTTTCTCTGCTATTTTCCTAGTGACTTACTCATTGAAAAAATGCCTTATTTTTAAAATGTGGGATTTAGCTTAACACAGGAACTTCTGCTATTAGCAATGTTTTACTTCCTCCTTAGAAGAAGATGAGGAAAGTGAGGAATCAAGTGAGGAGGAATCCAGCTTGGAGAGTGATGAAAATGAGTCTGGATCTGAAGATGATGTTTTGGATGATTCTTTCTGCCCATCAGGTAAGTTGGATAAAACCAGATGTTCTCTGTGAAGTAACTATGAATTGGCCATACCAAGAAGATCCTTTCTTTTCTTTATTTTTTTT